TTTCAGAAGGAATGGTACCAGCTCCTCTTTTTACATGTCTGGTAGAATTCGGCTGTGAAGCTGTCTGGACCTGGGCTTTTTTTGGTGGTAAGCTCTTAATTGCTGCCTCAACTTCAGACCTTGTTATGGGTCTGTTCAGGGTTTCGGCTTCTTCCTGGCTTAGGCTTGGGAGGAGGTAACTGTCCAGGAATTTATCCATTTCTTCCAGGTTTATTAGTTTATGTGCATAGAGTTGTTTGTAATAATCTCTGATGATGGTTTGAATTTCTGTGGAATCTGTGGTGATGTCCGCTTTATCGTTTTTTATTGCATCAATTTGGTTATTCTCTCTTTTCCTTTTTATTAATCTGGCTAGTGGTCTGTCTATTTTGTTGATCTTTTCCAAAAGCCAGCTCCTGGATTTATTGATTTTTTGAAGGGTTTTTTGTGTCTCTATCTGCTTCAGCTCTGCTCTGATCTTAGCTATTTCTTGTCTTCTGCTAGACTTTGAGGTTTTTTGATCTTGCTCCCCTACCTCTTTCAGTTTTGATGATAGGGTGTCAATTTTTGATCTCTCCTTGCTTCTCATGTGGGCACTTATTGCTATGTATTTTCCTCTAGAGACTGCTTTAAATTTGTCCCAGAGATTCTGGTATGTTGTGTCTTCATTCTCATTGGTTTCGGAGAACATCTTTATTTCTGTCTTCATTTCGTTGTTTATCCAGTCAACATTCAAGAACAAGTTGTTCAGTTTCCATGAAGCTGTGCGGTTCTGGGATAATTTTTGAATTCTGAGTTCTAACTTGATTGCACTGGGGTCTGAGAGACTGTTTGTTACGATTTACGTTCTTTTGCGTTTGCTGAGGAGTGATTTACTTCCAATTATATAATCAATTTTAGAGTAGGTGTGATGTGGTGCTGAGAAGAATGTATATTCTGTGGCTTTGGGGTGGAGAGTTCAGTAAATGTCTATAAGGTTTGCTTGGTCCAGGTCTGAGTTCAAGTCCTGGATATCCTTGTTATTTTCTGTCTGGTTGATCTGTCTAATATTGACAATGGGGTGTTACAGTCTCCCACTATTATTGTGTGGGAGTCTAAGTCTCTTTGTAAGTCATTAAGAACCTGCCTTATGTATCTGGGTGCTCCTGTATTGGGTGTGTATATATTTAGGATCGTTAGCTCTTCTTGTTGCGTTGATCCTTTTACCATTATGTAATGTCTCTCTTTGTCTCTTATGATCTTTGTTGCTTTAAAGTCTAATTTATCAGAGATGAGAATTGCAACTCCTGCTTTTTTTTGCTCTCCATTTGCTTGGTAAATCTTCCTCCATCCCTTTATTTTGAGCCTTTGTGTATCCTTGCATGTGAGATGGGTTTCCTGGATACAGCACACCGATGGGTTTTGGCTTTTTATCCAATTTGCCAGTCTGTGTCTTTTGATTGGGGCATTTAGCCCATTTACATTTAGGGTTAATATTTTTATGTGCTAATTTGATACTGCCATTTTGGTGCTAGCTGGGTGTTTTGCCCTTTAGTTGAGCTGGTACTTGTTGCTCTTTTATATGTGTAGATCCTCCTTCAGGAGCTCTTGTAGAGCTGGCCTGGTGGTGACAAAATCTCTGAGTACTTGTATATTCCCAAAGGATTTTATTTTTCCTTCGCTTATGAAGCTTAGTTTGGCTGGATAGGAGATTCTGGGTTGAAAGTTCTTTTCTTTAAGGATGTTGAATATTGGCCCCCACTCTCTTCTGGCTTGTAGGGTTTCTGCTGAGAGATATGCTGTGAGTCTGATGGGCTTTCCTTTGTGGGCAGACCTTTCTCTCTGGCTGCCCTTAGTATTTTCTCCCTCATTTCAACCCCGGTGAATCTGACAATTATGTGCCTTGGGGTTGCTCTTCGTAAGGAATATCATTATAGTGTTCTCTGTATTTCCTGGACTTGAATATTGGCCTGCCTTGCTAGGTTGGGGAAGTTTTCCTGGATAATATCCTGAAGAGTATTTTCCAGCTTGGATTCATTCTCTTCGTCACATTCAGGTACGCCTATCAAACATAGATTAGGTCTTTTCACATAGTCCCACATTTCTTGGAGATTTTGTTCATTCCTTTTTACCCTTTTTTCTCCAATTTTTCCTTCTCATTTTATTTCATTGAGTTGATCTTCGACCTCTGATATCCTTTCTTCTGCTTGGTCAATTCGGCTGTTGATACTTGTGCATGCTTCGCGAAGTTCTCGTGTTGCGTTTTTCAGCTCCATCAATTCACTTATTTTCCTATTTTGTCCATTCTCGTTAGCATTTCATCAAATCTTTTTTCAAGGTTCTTAGTTTCTTTGCATTTGATTAGAACATGTTCTTTAAGTTCACAGAAGTTTCTTACTACCCACCTTCTGAAGTCTGATTCTGTCATTTCATCACACTCGTTCTCCCTCCAACCTTGTTCCCTTGCTGGTGAGGAGTTGTGATCCCTTGTAGGAGGAAAGGTGTTCTGGTTTCAGGTGTTTTCATCCTTTTTGCCCTGGTTTCTTCCCATCTTTAAGGATTTATTCACCTGTCGACTTTGTAGTTGCTGGCTTTCAGATTGGGTCTCAAATCTTTCAGATTGACGTTCTGATTGTTGATGATGAGGTTATTTCTGTTTCTTGGTTTTCCTTCTGACAGTCTGGCCCCTCTGCTGTAAGTCTGCTGAGGTCCACTCCAGGACCTACTTGCCTGAGGTTCACCTGCAGCAGCTGCTGAACAGTAAGGGCTGTTACCAGTTTTCTCCTTCTGCTATCTTTGTCTCAGAAGGATACCCGCCTAGTGTCAATCTGATATCTCCTTTATGAGGTGTCTCTTTGGATATATAGGGGTCAGGGAGCTGCTTGAGGAGACGGCCTCTTCTTTATAGGAGCTCAAATGGTGAGCTGTCAGCTCTGTTGTTCGTTCAGAGCTGCTGGGTAGGTTCATTTAGGTCTGCTGCAGCAGAACTCATAAACTGCTTTTTGTTCCCAGGTGCTCTGTCCCAGGGATTTAGGGCTTTATTTATGAGTTTCCCTTATGCTGCTGCCTTCTTTTTTTTTTTCCTTCAGACCTGCCCTGCCCAGCAAGGAGGCAGCCTAGTTACTGTCGGCCTGTAGAGGCTTTGCTGAGCTGCTGTGGGCTCCGCCCAGCTGCCGAGTGAACTTCCCTGCAGTCCTGTTTATATGGGTGTAGTTAGAACTGCTTTGGCGATGGTGGCCCGCCTCTGTTGAGGTGGAGTCTCTCTGCTGTGGCGGGTTGCCTTGGCAATGGCTGGCTGCCTCAGCATTGACCAACTACCTCCGTCCTGGCAGGCTGCCTCGGTAATGGCGGACGCCCTCCCCCACAGAGCTGGACCCTCCCAGGTTCAGCTGCACTTGCTGTGAAACTCTCATTCCAGAGTTTCTGGTTGCTGTTCTTTTGTGGGGGTGGGACCAGCCGAGCCTGATCGCCTGGCTCTCTGCCTCAGAGCATTTTTTAAGTTTGTGTTCCAGTCGCCTGTTGAAGAGGCGCCGGGGTCTGTTTGTTTTCCCCTGCGGCCACTCACTGCGGTGGCTTAAACAGCGGCACTGAGGTTTATGGCGCTTTTTTTTTTTTTTGCCCTGGAATCTACTGCCTTGGTTCCCTGCTCAGTGCCCTTTTTAAACAGACGAATGGGCGACTTCCCATGGCTCCAATCACCAGCCAAAAGGGCACCCAGACTTGTGTATTTTGTACAGAGAACCGTTGCTCCGGGGCGCCGACAAAGCAGCCGCGGGGCAAAGAAATGGCGCCAGCCGGCACAGCTACGCTGGCCAATACAGCCGCGCTGGTGACCTGTGGAGCTCCTCTGCCAGGGAATTTCCTACTCTGTGAGCAATAAAAATGCGGCGTCCACTCACCCTCTGTGCTTTCATTGGCGGCTGCAATCCTGAGCTGTTCCTAAACGGCCATCTTGGATCCTCCTCCTTGAAACACTCGAGAAATCCTATTTTGTTCAGACGATGTGGCTCTCTTTGGGCTTTTTCCAGCAAATCCAAGCTGTGTCTGTGGGTCTGTATGCTGTGTGTATCTTCAGCAGGAACCCATGTGAAGTGCATCAGTTTTGAGCTCCCAGTCTCCCTCATAAGCATGGCAAATGGAACCATCCACTTGACACATTTCTCTCTGTCACACCACTGATGCTCTTAAACATTTTGTGTCAATTAAAGTGAAGAGACATACAGGGCAGAAGCAGTGAGTACATCCTAAGAAAATTCTAAGCAGTCAACATCCAGCACACAGAGATCTGAAAGCTCCACAATCTGTAAACATTTGCTGGGGAGGCTGTGGCAACAGCACTTTGTGTAAGTCATTTAGAGATGCCACCTGCATGTATACATTCAGCCAAGACACAGTGGCCAGGGGACTTAAACACCACTCAGGGGCCTTCATACTCATTCATTCCACAGTAAGAATGTTATCTCCTGAACAAGTCCCAAGCAACTGTGAAAAACAGATTTCCTCAAGTTTAGCTGGAATAAATAAAGGTAAAATCCCAATAATCTGTAAAAGTGTTTTTATAACATTCTGTGCTTTCATGTGTTGATCAAAGCAATCTTGTGCAAAGTAAACTATCTCCCTGTGAAGTCTGTAGACCTCACATGCCTCCATTAGCTAATCCAGAAGAGGCTGCAGAAGAGGGTGCCACGGCATAGAGGGCTTATCCCATAGTATGACTTTTGCTTGTTCAACATGATTTTCCAGACTGTTCTCTGTTTGCCCACGTCTGTATAGGCAGTGGTGAGGCTCTGCATCACATGGAATGCTGTGACATACGCATAGAATTTGGGTAGGCCAGCCCATTATCTCTTTGTCGATGTGGGGATCAAGCATCAGGGGTTTGCACAGATTGCATTACTATCCCAAGGCTGAACTGTCCCAAGGCTGAATGCCACCCTGGCTTCTCAGAGTCCTGTCAATATTGGCAATTTGTCCACTGGACTCTGAAAAAAAAAGCCAAAATAGCCCTCTTTTTCAGAAACAAACAAAGAAAACAGTGCCATTTCCCTCTTTCCTACTGCCCTGTTTCGTCGCAAACTCCCCTCCTCTCCCTGGGCATGGTGCAGGGCTCAGGCACCCAACTCAGGCCTGAAGCTGTCTCCAGGGCAAACGGGTATGCACCTGTCAAGGCAGGAGGCAGGAGGTGAACAGGAGGAAGCATGCCTTTAAAAAGCAACATCTCACTTATAATTGCTTAGCAAGTAGGAAAATGTGATGGTATCTAACTCTTCCTCCGTCTCCCCACAGGGACTGTACAAATTGTAAATGAATCGCTTGAGTTATTTGAGTGCAAGCCATAAGAGTGAAGTCTGGCTTACATAGGCACAGGGGATTTCCACAGAGCTAGAGCTGCAGTTCATGGAATCACAGATGCTGCCAAAGTCATGAAAATGGTGAGTCATCTCCTCCATAAAGGGCGAGTGTTTGAAGGAGGCACCTCTCGACCCAGACTGGGAACCTGACATGCTGGAGTCTGGGAGGATTCTTGTAGCCATGGTTCTAGTTTCCCTGCAGTGGCCAGGCTCTGTGGGCAGTGGGTCGGGTGTGTCTCAGGAGGGAACAAGGATGCCCAAGCAAGTGCCTGGTGATGGTTTTGCCCTCTGATCCCTTCTCAGCACACACAGGTACACAGGCAAGGCTGACAACAGAAGAAGCTGCGTGGACACCTGAGGACACAGAGGAGCAGCTTTCCTCCAGGTGCTCTGAAGTGGTGACATCAGAATGGAGGAGACCTGCTGACACCGGCTCTGCCAGGCTTCTGCCCTCCCCTCCCCAGCCCCCACGTTCCAGGACTCTTTCCACAAGAAAATGGGTCAGACAACAAGGACCAGGTTGGTGGGAATATCCCTGCTAACTGGCAACTCGAGTTTCACCCAGACATCACCTCCTCACCCTGCAGTCTTCAGGCCCTGTTCCTCCAAGCCAAAGTCAGACACACAAGGGAAATGCCAGGTGCAGATGACAGGCTGCATAATTGCTGGAGAAGTTCCCCAAGTCTAGGACCAGACACCTGTCTCACCCTCTCAGGTGACCTTAGTGATCATCCTGCAGGCACTTACACTCCTTCTCAGCACTATCACTTTCTGGAGACAGTCAAGATCCTCTTTCTTCTCAGGGTTCAGCCTGAGCACTGGGGTGACCAAACACGCTGTGCAAAGGGCAGGAGCCTCTTCAATGCCAGCTTATGAATCTGTACCCTCATCACCACCAACGGTGGAAAATGGCACCTCAATCCACAATCCACTATTTCTTCCCACCCTTACCTCCTCATACCCATCTGGAATTTAGGGGAATGGGGAGGGCAGCCAGTGGTGATGGCATCAGCTGAGGCCTAAGGAAAACTGAACGGGAAGCCAAGGAACCACCTCAGGTGACTACAATTGTTTGCTGTTCTGCACGTGTGTCCAAGAATGACCACAAAAGATTTTCAATGAGCAATT